AGCAAATGGCTGCAATATAACAAAGAGTGAAAAATTTAAGGGGGTCTGAATACTTTCCGTACCCACTGTATATACTGTTATTAAAAAGTAATATAAAATAAATAAATATAGATTATATACAGATCCAAAATATTTATTTAAACGATGTATATTTATAAATCAATATTAATATGCAAATACAAATCAAAAATCGGAATAAAAATATGTATTTTGAAATAAAATTAAAAATGATGGCCATGTTTAGACAGTAAATCTTTTTGAGTGAAACTATATATTTATATATTAATTATATTATAAATTATCATGATATAATACTTAAATTGTTATATAAGTATTATTATTATTACACAATAATATAAAGTCATAAGGTTAAATATTAAAAACAGAAAAAATATTTTAAACAAGCAATATATTTCTAAATAAATGTTATGTAAAAAGGATTTAAAATAAAAAAATGTACTATGAAATAAAATTAAAACAAAAAATGTTATGGTTGTCTAAATCAGTGAGTAAAATTCAGTTATACAGATATATGAATGTTTATTATAGATTTTAATTATATAAAATATTGTTATATAAACATTATTATAAAACAGTAAAAGAATATTCATATAGATTTAATAAATATAAATAAATATTAATATTCTGCAAAAAATAAATATACATTTTAAGTGTGTTGCATATGAATCTGTGCATCTGTGAGTCTTTTTTTTGACAATCTTAAATGGAAAAAGTCTTATTTCATTCTTATATGTGACCCTGGACCACAAAAACAGTCATAAGCGTCAATTAAAAAATAAAAAAGAATAAATAAGCTTTCCATTGATGTATAGTTTGTTAGGATAGGACAATATTTGGCTGAGATACAACTATTTGAAAATCTGGAATCTGAGGGTGCAAAAAAATCTAAATATGGAGAAAATCAACTTTAAAGTTGTCCAAATGAAGTTCTTAGCAATGCATATTACTAATCAAAAATTAAGTTTTGATATATTTACGGTAGGAAATTTACAAAATATCTTCATGGAACATAATCTTTACTTAATATTCTAATAATTTTTGGCATAAAAGAAAAATCAATAATTTTGACCCATACAATGTATTTTTGGCTATTGCTACAAATATACCCGTGCTACTTAAGACTGGTTTTGTGCTCCAGGGTCACGTATAACAAAACTTTCTTTTGCCTGTTTCTTCTCCAGTGTACGAAGGACGGATCTTTCGGAGGAGAGAACATCTCCATGGTAATTAGTAATGTCTGAAGTCTCAGTCGTGATGTCATATTACTCTAGAGACTATTTCTGGATTCTGGTGCCCTACAGACGGGCCCCGTCAGACTGTTCGTCCCTTATAAAAGAAGGAAGAAGGACAACGAGCGGGCAGCTTCTCCTGAGAAGAAGGAAGTTCAGTCTCCAAAGAACATCACCCTGGGTCCTGGAGCAACATGTAAGATCCTTAATGTTCCCCTGTTCCTCTGTATTAACATGCAGTCAAACACTGTCAGTCGAGACTGATTACCTGGTAATAACATCCATCTAAACCACGTCTCCTGTGACCAGATTCTGATGTAGTTGAGAAACAAATCCTTTTGCAGCTAAATGAAAATAAATTGACTTAATTTCTTAATTAACTCGCCATGAGTTATTCAGAATACATTTTTTTTTAAATAATTTTTGTGTTGGCCAGCAACTAACAACATCACAAGCTGGCGTTGATGTAATATATATAATATGTATATATACATATAGTTAGATGCAGATAATAATGTTTTTTGTTTTTTATTTATTTTATTATTATTTATTTATTTAGTTTTTAAAAAATAATTATTTGTGATTGTTATTTATTTGAATCACGCAATATTAATATTACATATTAATAGTATGTTAAAAAAGTATGCAAAGGAATCAAAAATATCAATAAAAATATATTATGAAATAAAATTATTTATATTTTTATGGTTGCATCTAAATAGTAAACCCTTTGAAGTGAAACTTATAAATATAAATATACAAATGTGTATTTTATAATTTTTTGTATAAGTATTGTATAATAATCTTATTATTCCAGTATCCGAAGATATATATCTTTTTTATCAGTGATTATGACTCTCAGGTGTGAGTCTGTTGTGAGTCTGATATCGACTGTCTGACGTCTCTCATAAAGATCAGAAAGAGAGTAATTCTCTCAGAAGACACCGGAAACGGCTCCCGACTATCTGTCTGCTCTCAGTTACAGTGACTCCGTCCGGACAGATCACCACATCAGGCACGCTGACCTTTGACCGAACGGCGACAGGAGAGACGGCGGCCATCATCTCCGACAGCCCAGCGCCCGCTGACATCTTCACCAACACAACCGGTGAGTGGTGCCTTCACAAACACTACAGCCAAATGTTTTTTTTAATAACCAAAACCACGTACTTGCATACTACTATTTTGGAAGTATGTAGTATGGGTTTTGTGCACAGTATTCTGCAGGTATTCTGTACGTATTGAGTATGTGTATTCACTACATTTGCCAAAATGTGCAGTATAGAACAGAGCACACTGCGAGGAATACTGTATCCCACAATGCAATGCACTTGGGTTGACCTTCCATTTCCAGTAAGGCAAATGTTTTTTATTATTTGTTCAAATTGGCAAAAGTTGAGGCATTATTACTTATAAACATGCAAGTAAGTGTGTGATAACTGGATGCCCCTTGTATACTGGATGAGTAAAAACAGCCAATCGGATTAAAGCTCTTGTGTTTCTTTGTGTGCAATTTGCATCAGAGGGTCATTGACTGGTCCGTTGACGGTCTGTGATCGTGCCATCTGAGGTTGAGACTCTCTCCCCCTCTGAAGCCCAGAATTGGCCTCTTTCTGGCTCGTTTTTGGCTGGAAACAAAAAGGGCTGTTATTTTTAGGCCCCTTTGTGCGAGACAGAGGCCGTTTGGAGCTCAGTGTGAGACTCTGATAATGAGTTGTTCTGCGTTTTTGTACCCTGTCCAGTTGGGGTGACTTCTGTTAAATGGCACATTTGTAGGACAGAGGGTACATCGGGTCTGTCCTCATATGGGTCACGTTTGGACCGTTCGAACCCATCCTGTGAGCAAATGTTGGGATGTTTGAATGTGTTACTTCATAACACCTCTAAACCAATGATTCATTTGTTATTTCATCGGTGTTTCTAGAAATGATGAATTAATTAAGCACTGCTGAAGGTAATGCATTAACCTTTGAGATTAATTCAACGTTTGATGCTGTTAAATTCACTTCATGGTGTTTTGGCACATCTAGCTAATTTGACATCAAGACAGTTTCATTCTGTGCAGTGTCATTTTTAAACCCTTAACAGAAATAATAACTTCTAAACGTCTAAAAACATGAACTCATACACGTTCTATGGTTTCCTGGCCTTATTGTTAATGATTTATCAGCATGTTATTTCAAAATAAAAAAAAATCAGTTAAATTCTATTAAATGATCCAATGAAAAATTTTGCCTCTTAATTAAAACAATTTACCTTTCCTGCTGATGTCATTAAGACCACTTACGTTTCACAATCAGATCAATTCCTGACGTATGAAGTCATGTGCTACATTTATTTTTTATGAATATTTTATTTTAGCTCACCAATGGATCATTTGCAGTGAATGGGTGCCGTCAGAATGAGAGTCCAAACAGCTGATAAAAACATCACAATAATCCTCAAGTAATCCACACCACTCCAGTCCATCAGTTAATGTCTTGTGAAGTGAGAATCTGCGTGTTTGTGAAAAACAAATCTATCATTAATGCGTTTTAACATCAAACTGTTGCTTCAGATTAAAATACTATTCATATTCTATAATATTGCTTCCTCCAGTGAAAAAGTTGTCTCGTCCGATTTAGGAGAGAAATATGCACAAATCAAACACCATTTACAAGCGAAAACAGTCCAGAACAGTTCTTAACAAATATGTGGGTTGAGTTTGATTTGAGAGGATAACAGGAGATGGACTTCTTCGCTGGAGGAAGCATTTTTATGTTATATGGACTCCAGAAGCAACGGTTTAAAGTTAAAATGTGTTAATGATGGATTTGTTTCTTACAAACACAGTTTTGCGTTTCACAAGACATTAACCGATGGACTGGAGTGGCGTGGATTATTGTGATGTTTTTATCAGCTGTTTGGACTCTCATTCTGACGGCACCCATTCACTGCAGAGGATCCATTGGTACATTTCTCCAAATCTGTTCTGATGAAGAAACAAACTCATCTACATCTTAAATAGCTTGAGGGAGGGTATATTTTCAGCACATTTTCATTTTGTGGTGAACTATTCTTTTAAGTACAAAAATATTTACAAAATAATTATTTTTATTTACTGACAACAACCAATGATCCATACATTGCTTTATATCCATCTTTCAAAGTCTTTCTATTCTTGTCTTGCTCTCTTTTCAAGAGATAGGATCATGGTTTGAATTCTGTCTGAGGGTTGATTTCTGAAGTTTAGGGCATTCATCCAGTGTAGATGTTTCGCCCCAGGGAGCGTGACCCCCGATTGAAACAGACCCCCTCTGTGTCACTGATCCACCACTGTGCTCTGTGTCTCAGGAAATCATCGCTCTCTCCTTCTTTGTATATCTGTCAGGCTGTGTGTGACCGAAATGCTTCAGCACTTCTCTTTTAAAACATCCTGACCTCGACTCGCTTGGACTGATTCGTGAAAATAACCATAAAAAAAGTGTGTCCACAGCCCTGGACCGTAATATTACAGAGAAAATTAATTTCTGCCACAGGAAAATGGGTGCATATTCTCACACCTCCAAAGTATTGATGTATGAGCAGTGGCCTAGTGGTTAATGCACATGCTCAGACACATTGAGCTGTGGTGCTCATGTGGCCACCGTGAGTTCAAATCCACCTTTCAGGATTCAGGGGAAATAAAAATGTATTTTTATAAAGAATATACATTTTGTTTTTTAGTTCAGCTGATAATATATATATATATATATATATATATATATATATACAGTGGG